TTATTATTTATATTTTTATTGAAAAATAATATAATTGTTAGAATTAAAACAAAACTTCTGTCCTTAATTAAAACTTTATTTCGTACTTTTTTTTATAGCAAAGTTTTTTATTGCGCTAACAATGTCTATAGCATCATATACCTCTTGCTCAATATACAATAATTGAATAATTTTGATCAATATCAATTTTGAAAATCTCCTCTCACAGCTGTTATTGTTTGTAGCAATTGTGGAGAGTATTCAGAGCATTTTGTAGTATTGGACAGAATATCTTCTAACTTGGATAATACATTTTAATAATTCAAGTGGGTCATCATTATTTAATTTATTTTTGTTGCCTGTCGCAACAACACCTCTGCAGACAAAGGCATTCCAGCTGGAAATCCTTCACTTTATATTTCAGCAGATGCATAGTCTAGATTACTATGGTGACCTTTTTTTCTATTTAAAAGGAGTTAGAAACACATTAAGAGAAAGTACAATGTAAATAAATGAAGTGTTTTATTCATTCCAACAAAAATGTCTAATTATTTTTTTAAACTAGAATTTTTCCATTGAATGAATATTTTTTCTCAATATATTATTTTCTAAGAATATAATGAAAATTTCAGGACAGGATCATGCGTGTTCACAATATTTCCTGTAAAAACACCAAGTTTGCGAAAACACCAAGAATAAAAAAAATACAATTCACAAAATCAACAACAATGGCACTGCAAAAATACGTAAGCACAAGTTAGAAGTTATTCAAAATAAATTTCTACATCAAATATCAAAAGCTCTTTCCTTTATTTGTAATGAACAAATTTTAAACTGAACTGGCTATTGAAGCAATAGGATTTCAAAACTATCAAAGAGTTTTTATACTTCTTTTTCATCTTGTTCTGCAACTAATACATTTAAATTGAGCAAATCGTGTAATAATTTTTCCTGCAATAAGATTTGTTTTTCAAAAGATCTTTCAACCTTCTTATGAACAATCAACTTTAGCAGTATGAAATTAAAACTAAAAGAAAATATTTTATTAACTTGTTAACAAGTTATTATGTAGGACCCTTCCAAGGTAACTTTAGAAATAATACAATTTTTGTTCTAGTTTATTGAATTATGAATATAATGTAAATGTACACATTGTATGTCAAATAAGTAGAATAAATAATATTTAAAAACAACAATGTTTATTGTGAAGAAGTATTTTGGGAGTAAATTGTACAAGCAATAGATATATATTGCCAATACAAACATTTCAGAGCAATCAATGCTTGTTATAATTTTCGGAAATGTTTCTGTAAAAACTTTAATTCTTTAAAACAGATTATTTTATAACAAAATGAATAGCCAATAATTAAAATTCCGCTTATTTTCTTCTATCTCAATTATTTTCCACTCTATAACTTGACATAAACTCCATATCACTCAATTCTTTTGGTTGCCAAAAATTAAAAAAAATAATAATTTTTTGACTTGTCTCTCACGTCGTTATTATTTACATTAGCGGTAATTTGTTTACATTAATATATTTATGAGTACTTGTGATTTAAATAATGTCATAACGTAAATAACGTTTTTCAAGAACTCAACAGTTTTCTGTGAAAATGAGCCTAAATTTCTGCATTTTCGGAAACGCCCAAACACTCAAAAACTGCTCCAAATTTTGTCTTCAACCTTTTTTAGTAGGTAGTGATAATTGTACTGTTTAAGATGACATAGAATTAATATTGCTGTATTCGTTTTTTTTTAATTACACAAATATAATTTTTATTTCTCACGCCTCCAATATGCACATTTTAAACAATTTGTAAACACTATTTCGTGTGCGACTAGAAGTGCTTGAAATGACTTAATATAAAGTTTCTCGAAAACTCAATAGTTACTGGGGAAAAGATTCGAATTTCGAATTTACAGTAGCGCTTAAACATCATTTTCTTAAATTTTTTCAAAGAAAGTTGTTAGCGAGGTTTTACTGTTCGGTTGTCGGACTCCAAGCTGGTCTACCGACTAAAACCTAACCTCCTCTCGCTTGAGCCGAATCGACACCAGAGAGTATATATCGACACCTTCATGGAAAGCGTCGTCACGCATTACTTCCTGGAGGGAACAGGAGGGTAGCTAGTGCTCTTTCTATTACTCTTTTCTTTCTTTATAGTGAAACTTGTGACCATTATTTCTATTGCATTTTAATTATTTTTGGAGGAAAGCAACATCACCTTTGAATTAGGTGGTATTTTTTCCTTCTGGCTTGTTTCTTAAAGCCGCCCATCCTGATGCCGTATTGTACCGCGCTCAGTACGCAAATCAGTCGTCCCTATGATTCTTTCGGTTCGCGTATATTGGGCATAAGTCGTTGCTGCTTTGTCTGCTGTCTTCTAGAGTGTGGCCCGAAACTCAATCTGTGGTCAATTTCGACCTTAAACGTCATTTTCTCAAAAACGGCTTCAATTTTTTTCGTGAAACTTTTCGAAGGGATAGAGCTAATTGCACTCTTTAATATCACGTGAAGTCCATTTCGGGTTCTTTTTTTCCTTCAAAAATTACACTTTTATATATTTTTCTCTCGTGGCTTTAATATGCACATTTCCATCGATTTGTAAACATTGTTGCATTTTTGACTGGAAGTGTTTGAAATGACTTCACACCAAGTTTTTCGGAAACTAAATAGTTTTCTGTGAAAATAGGTTGATATTTCGAATTCACAGCAGCGCTTAAAGGCTAGTTTTTTAAAAACGGCTCCAATTTTTTCAAAGAAAATTGCCATTTGGAACGAGGTTGTACTGTTCTTAATAATCTGAAAATAATATTTCCGCTCTACAATAACACCACGTGAGGATTTTTTTCTTTATTTAACAACTGAATTTATCCACTTTTTCGTTATCAAGGCCAAGCAATAAGTTCTTCGGTCGAAAATACCTTTTCCGGCACACGATTACACTTTTTCTTACGTTAGTACCTAAGGGCGAAAAAGCAAAAATATGCATGTTGTATGTACCACAAAAGTTTAAAGATACGAAGCGCATTTCATCCGGCTTTGCAAATTTTTGAAAACCTGGTAATAACGGATGTCTCACTGTCCTGTAAGCTACATGTGATTCACAAAACGTAACACTGGATTTCGTACCTCCGTGTACCACGCTTCTATGGCAAATATTTCCGTGGAACTGCACGAATTTGAGGACTTGCTAGACGGGACATAGGATTTTAAAATACAGCGGGACGCACGAAAAAATATTTTAATTTTTGAGAATATTACAATAAAATTATGGTTGTGAAGCTGTTTGGACGTGCGGATAAATTTTAATGTTTTCATAGGGACGGGAAACGTGTTACGGAAATTTCGATCGGCCCCGTGCTCTTCCATTATGAACAGACTGTATAATGATAGAACTAATGTATTGAAGAATAAAGCAGGTAAATTGTACTAAAATATTAATACATTTAATATCACACACACTCTTATGTTTACGGGTTTATAGCCTGAATTTACGAAATTTCAGAGTAATGTGACTCCTGGCAACAGCTTGGGTCAAGCATGCAGACTTTTTTACCCCGCCACTTCTCAAGTATTCACCTGCCATGAGCAGTGTCTCTGACATTGCCTATTCAGGGATTTGCCGAAAAAATTATAACACGTTATTAACATTTACATTTAATGTTAATAAATCAATGTTAAAAATGCACCCAAAAATACTGGACTGTATAAGTGTATATATTTAATAGGAAATAAACTTTTCTCAGTTATCTGTCAAATTCCCTCTTTTTCAGGTGTGCATCAACACTGACATCAGGGAAGTTTATAGGCTTTAAGAAACATTGAATTCACTTGGTGGATTTAATGTTTTTGATATACTATTTGAAAAACTGAAACAAGGAAGCTCACTGTATGGACAATAAAAAAAGAGAGGCCTGTTGTACAGTTTGCAATTTATCCCATGCTAATTTCAGTATAATGAAAGAACCAACATAATGAAAAAATTAAGACCAACATTGATCAAGTTCAGTTAACATTTCTGAAAAGGAATAATTTATGTAAGTTGTACAAAACATCAGTTTATGTGACTGTGTCAATGATAAACACCAAGTGAAAATATCATGGTTAAAACTCACTGTGTAATTACATTGGAATACAACATTCCTTGTCAAGGATGCTGTGTTTGTTATCCATTGTGTGTTGGTAAATACATTACTCTTAGGTTCAAGGAAAATTGAGGATTTGTGATTACAAGGTCAAATTTGTCTTGATTGTTTGGGGTCTTTCTATTTAAGATGAAATCCTTTCTGAAGTTGGGTTCTGTAATGAGAGTCAAACCTGAGCAATTCTTTCTTAATCCATCTGTCCTGAAGAATTAGTCATAATGGTGCACTAGTGGTGGTAGATTTTTATTTAAAATTTCTACTCCTTACGAAGGTTTATGAAAAATCCAGTACCTTCGCTACCCTAGAACATTCACTTTTAGTAACACTTTGTATAACATGTTATACACAACCAATAGATTACAGTATTAAATTTGATTTTCTCATTTCATATTTTGAAGAATGACAAATTAAAGCTGTAAAGTTACTTTCATTTCTTGTTTTTGAAAATAAATTTTTATAAGTGTAATCTGAATATATAAATAAATATGTATTGGCAATAACTAGGAAGTACCTCCTCAATCCCTTTTAAGTATAGGCTATTATTGATGTCATACATTTTATTTAAACTGTTAAAATACCATATTATTTTAATTCTATTTATTTTGTATTTATGTATCATAAGCTTCTGCAATCAATAGTTTTAATAAAATTATTAAGTCATGTCAGCAATTTAAACAAATATGTACATATAATTTTTTTTTTTTTTTTTTTGTTGCAACAATTCAATCCAGAATATCAACAGTCCGGATTTTGACATCCAAATTATTGATTCTCTACTGAACAAGCTTTTGAACAAGTTTGAAGCTTGCCATAACAATATTTACTTAACTGAACATTAAAAAAACCAAGAACCTTACAAGTGTTTTAAGGAGATACATTTTAAATTATCTTGACAAATCCTGTAACACATCGAACAAGGAGCAGGGCAATGTACACAAAAATAAAAAAACAATTTAACTAGAATAATTTAATTTTTTCATGGTAGAAAAAGGAGAATGCAGGCTTGCATGGACCACATGTTTGTATACAATATATATATAATTCATATTTTTAACTGATTACAAAATACAATCAAGTTGCCAATGTGCAGCATCTTAACGTCAGCCTCCAACCACCCCTATGTATAGTGAAACACTGTAGTTCTAGGCGCCTCCTGTGGTCAAGGCTAATTCGGACTGGACTGCATGTGTTGGATTTTTAATAGTTCGAAAATTTAAAAATAAACATCCTTGGCATTGTTGTAATGCCAAAATTAATTTTCACATAATGAAGCTTGCTTTCTTTCTTAAAAACCCTTTTTTTTATACAGTTTCTTCGGAAAGAAACTAATGACTACCATGTGAGGATAATTATTGTAGTACATTTAAAGTGTAAAATAGATATTTCAAGGATTATTGGTGGATTTCTGTAAATAGAAACGTTATGTGAGGAATTCCTTTAAAGCAACAGGACATGGATAGAGTCATGGGTAGCATAAGATAGCTTTAAAATCCATTTCAGGTTGTCTGTAAACACCGATTATAGGATAAATGCAGATCAACTTGTTACTCAATGAAATATAAAAAGAAAGAAAAGACAAGGAAATGCAGCTATATTGCTTTGAACCCGCATATATCTTTAAGCCTCACCCACATCCAGTTTTCTATGTCACTGCCCAATCACCTAGTTCAACTAACATATTGCTACTGTTACCCCAACATTTCATTTGCTCTAGGATACAAAAAACTAAAATAGTTGCTGACAGAGATTACAGTGGAATTTTGATTTTCACTATTACAGAATTATTCCAACTGAAAAAATAAAAATAAAATGAAATAAAAATTAAAAACATTAACAAATTAATCTCTATCACAATATAACCTCAATTTCTACAGAGCAGTAATCATAGCCAAGCATATCCCCAACACTCTGTGAAAAGTTCATTATGGACTCATCTTCAATAAAATTCATTTATGTTCTGGAATTCCAACATTTCAGAAATGTTAATACCACTCGTCTCTGTGTAGCAACGTAAAATAGTTTTTTTCCCCTGTGAGGTAGATGTTTGTCATAAAATTTTCCAGCATGTGTCTACATTCAATTGTATGACAGATTCATTTGTGTACAGAGGTTGAGGTAGCAAGGGCATCACATGATATAGGAAAGAGAAAAGCTCATAACAAGAAGTAGCAAACACAACAGTAAAATCAAAGGGGAATAAAAGATAATAGGACATGATATAACAAATCTGAAATATGACAATTCACTACAAAGCGTTGAAACATTAATTAAACCAGCAACAATATAGATCTGTTTCTTTACAAAATTGATAATGCAGATTAATACATCTGCACCACTGTTACTGCAAAAAGGCCAAATTCAACACCAACCAAAGTATTATGCATTTTGCCATAGGCTGACACTACACTCAGGAGGGAAAAAAACAATAACCAAACAGGCCTCTTGCACCAGAAATATTGTCACATAAGCACTACTATTGTTTCAAAACTGCGATGTTACGGGAATTCTGTAAATACTCCAAAATAAATTTTGAGTTTGCACTTTTAAATTGTTGCACTTTCTTTTATTACCATATAATAATAGACAACAATATTTTCCAGTAATAAATAGAGTGTGCAACAAAAATTATCTCTAAAACTAAATAATTATAATATGTTTTATTAATGCTCTAAATAAAAATTTAATAATATACAATTTATGAAATCCAATAAGATTTGAATTAGTGTATTGCCAGCCACAGTACAAAATTATATATCAGTAATTAAACAAAATAATCATAAAACACTGTATATCAAGAGTAATTTTTTTTCAATTGTCACCTACACCTATAATACATCTTTGGTAGTCGGCAACAAATCTTGTGCTTAAGAAAAGGTTGCTTTATACCAACTGGCCATAATAGTCTAACAAGTAGACACAAAGCTTTTCTCAATTCTGAACAATTCATGATTCAGACCACCAATACAAGCAGAAGAAAATTCCTCACATTCTGACACAAAAGTAATGGAAGAAATACACAATTCTCTGAAAATTTATACGATAATTGCATCTTTCTTTCCAGCAAAGCACCCTATGTAAAAATCATATGCAATCACTGGATTCCATTTAATTAACTACGTGAATGCCTAACCTGCCAACATTTTGTATCTGACAAATTTTGAAAACTAAAATCTCTCATTCTTCTACACAAAACTCATAATGCCCTACTTATAAGCCCATTGTGAACAGAAAAGGCAATATACTTAACAGCTTCTATATATGAACATCTATCTATAAATATATATATAAAACTCAATGTGGCAAATTAGGCAATAAATGGAGGACAGGAAGAAAAAGCCTGAGTTTATGAACCCACTGAAACAAAAATAAAATGTGTATGATTATGCTCTCTGGCAATATTACTATGTACCAGAATATTCATATAAAATATGAAAAGAAACAATACACAGATATGAATAAGTTTATGTCAAGACATTTTTGTTGTTTGTAAATTTCCTACATGCATAGTACCAAAGCTCATATACATGAATACCTCCATACTTTTATATATTATGCTCTACTTTTACTGATTTCCAGAAATTAAACAAAACCCAGCTACTTTGAAATTTGTTGATTACTACACACCTGAGCACCTTTGGCGAAAAATTACATTAAAAAAAATCACAAAAAAGAAATTTATTCGGTAACCATACTATAAAAGTTATTTAGGAGCTAGGATGCACAAAATTTGAGTGCTAGTTTTAAAAGGGTTACTTCAAAGATATAATTAAAAGGGGAACTCTTTGATAAATTAACCTGATCATACCTGAGAATTATTTGTACGATAAATGATCTCATGCATCACTCGTACTTTTTAAATATGGCACTATCAAATACCATGCTCAATGAGGTTGCTGAGTAGCAAACATTTTTAATAATAAAATTTAAAATTAAATAAATGCTTAATTTTCATAAAACCAAGAAAAACAAAATACTACTGCAAATAACTGTTGGCAGAAAGAACATAAATAACATTACTTTTTCATGTCAGATAATTTAAATAAAATAGAAAAATTTGGCCATGCATAAACAAATATTGGGAACTTAAAACGTATCTTACAGACCAAGTAGTTACATATCACATCAAAAGCAAGGGTCACACGAAACTTTAATGAAAACATCAAAATTGAGTAACACTGTTTTCCAGTATCAGCATTTTAAGGCTCTGAATTATGCAGCAGAAAACGCTAACTGCCACACCCAGGTTGATTGTCAAGCTCAACCTTATATATATGAAAGAGGAAAGAGTGGTATGAGGAATATAGAATTATTTGTCACGCATAAAATTTCTCTGAGCATGAACAATCTATTTGCTTCTAACAACACTACTATTTTGTGTCTTCACATTACACAAATGAAAGTTCAGGAAAATAAGGAAGTGAGAAAAGAAAGGAAGTAAAGAATTAGAAGAGATTTTGCTGCAGTAGTATTTGAAACTATATACACTGAATCACAGAAATGTGTTCTTGTGCTAAAACCCATATTATTTATAGCATCATTTTTCGATACATCCAAGCTACAAAAGGAAAACAAGTAATATATGCCCAAATTGAAAACAAACAACAAAAAGATTAAAAAATATATATATGAAAGGAAACCGATTACTGTTGACCATTGCCTAATGCACCATTTGCACCTTTCAATGAAACAAATACCCTAGTGAAGTTACAACTGATATAAATTGGAATAGAAATACAAGTGTATGTGCATTATGGAACTCAAAAGTTAATTGTGAAAAAAACAAACCCGACCAGGAAAAACTTTTTAAGAAAATTCTAACGAACAAGATCTGTTCATGCATCACAAGAAAGTGTTGATAGAATATGTTAAAAAAACACCTTGAAGAACGCTATTGTATGGCTTCCCCCCTTTTTAAAAATCTGTAAGAAAATACTAAAAGATAAAGAAGAAGGAATTCCATCTACAGATATATTCCATTCAGGTGTCTTTTCAATTGATCGGGTGATTCAGTGGTATTGGGGTAAATATTGTAGAAATACCAATGACTAATGCACTTTTTTTTTGTTGTTATCGCCTGATGAAGTTAGCTGGAATATAATATAGACAGTGTAGTCGGTGGCAGGCCAAACCTCATGACCAAGGGGCTGATATATAGACTGAACACAATAGCCATCTGGGAACAAGTACATCACATATGCCTAAAACTTCTAACACACTTCGCAGAAGTGAATACATCACACAGGCTCAAATGCAGTAAACATTAAATAGATGTTAATGCTCAATACACAGTTCTAGGCAACAATCCACCTGAAAAATTCCAGTGGTTACAAATATATGACAGCCCCTTCTTGGCGTCTGTCCCTTTCATGAACTAACTTTTCAAGCTTTAACATGCTTTTCCATTTTTAACGGGTAACACATGTGACTTCTAACCAGTTCATTGATATTCAACTATGCACATGATTTCCTAATGTTGATCTGTGTTTTTCCATTTTTATATCTTTCTCATTTTGTATTTCAAAACATGTACCTTTCAAAAAATGTTTTATCTGCATGAGGTAGTAGATGAATTGAGAGAGTGATTTTGGCATTGACAGTACCAAAACTCTTGCTCAAAATGCATCTTTAAACAGAAAAGAATTTTTCTTTTTTTTTTAAACTCCTTTTTGCCAAAACCACACCCCCAGTACAACACAAGTTGAATGGTGGTCAGTGCTTAACCACACACTTTAAATAATAATAATAATAATAAAAGAACGGACTATGGTCTAATGCTTAATAAACGTGCAGTAGCAGGTATAATTTTATGTCAACACCACTGCTAGGAAATATATCTTGAATCTTCCTTACATAACTATTGTAATTCCAGTGAATAATTAAAAAAAAAAAAACATTTCATAACTATCTAAAAGCACCCTACCCTCTTCCAAGTTTACATTGTTTGCAACACAGGAATACCATTCTATCCCTGTCACTTGAGAAATACAATCAGGTTATCTTTCAAGTAGTGGGTACTTTCAAGAAGTTACCGACTTCAAACATTCAACACTTACACTCTACAAGTACAATCATCTAATGAAAGTTCAATTTATGAAGAGGTGGGAAGTAGCATACCTAAGGTCCTTAGCAAAAATTGAGGTAATTGTTGTCATCACCAGTGGTATTAAAAGCAAAAACCTGAGTCCAGCAAATCAACAGAAAAAATATTGTCTGTATATAACAACAACAACACTGTAATATTATACAATATATATTATATCAATAATATTTATCCATCTGCAAATCTTTAAAGGTTCATAAATTGATCTTTAAACAACCTGATAGGAACATCTCAAACAGGCATCTTTAACACAAGAGGGCAAGGTGCTTTGTTTTGATCACTATTGATAATTCTTATTATAACAAGCCATCTTGGTTGTCAAGAAATAAGTCTGTTCCATACTGTAACCTCGTGGAATTTCCAAGACTTGTGAAAATAAAACTGTCAAAATGTATTGAAGGTCCAGTAGGGGAAGTGATCACTTTCCACTACCAAAAAATAATAATAAACCAATATATCCAGACAGCTTGTACAGCATCTGCTTATTATAAGATATACAAATTTCCCAATTCAAGACTGAGGAATTCTGAAGAAAGTATAACTACTAGTTTCTTACACAGTTACATATGAAACTATCTATTATATTCTCTTCATAATTCAACTGCAGCAATTAACAGAGGCTCATAACATGATTTGAGCATCATCATAATAATAATAATAATAATGATTAATAAAACTGCATTGGGTAAAAGAAAAAGCCAACTTCCTTATATCATCATTCTTTCACAGCACAGAAACTTAATTCCCAGTCTTCAAGTTACAATCACTTCTGTTTTACTTTATATATATAATATGTATATATAATATATCTTCTTTTTTTGTTATTTTTATCTTTTTTTGCAAGAGTGCATGGGTATCTCAGTTTTGTTGTATTTATATCCCAGTAACAGGTATATTATACAAACATTTTAACAAATCCAGTCATGTGTTGACTTTTATCCATGTTATGAAACTTACTATTTATCAATTTAATTAAAATGCTTCCCCTGCTTTGTATGTTTACTGTAGTAATTATGTTAACATCCACCTAATTTTACATGATCAGTCGGTAAGGTAGACCCTATAGTTTTAGTATTAGCTTGATAAATTGCAAGTTGATTTCGTTCAGTTACTCTCGTACTTTAATCTTTGAGTTTCAAACTAGTTTGGAGGGTTTTAAATGCCTATGACCATTATACCACAAATCAGTGCTATGCCATACATTTAAGAAGAATCAAGTTCATTCTATTTCCAGAGTCGGTACATGTGTGCTATGTAGCAAACAATTTCAAGCAATTTCTTTCCAATTATTATAAAGAGATTGGAATTTCAAGCAAACTAAACCAGAAATTATTACTTTCTGTACACACTAAATGGAATCCAATGGGTTTGATGCTAATTGATACTACTTAAATGCACAGTCATAGCCAAACTAATTTCCTTTAGTTTCAGGATTTACATTTTTACATATGTGTATGTATCCTAAATGATAGTTTACAATTTTGATCGTCCTTCAAATAAATTATAAATTCACAACATCATTTTCTGAATGGAAAAACGTTGAGGCTTAGCGGGTATTTAAGGCATGCACATAGGTTTTCTTCATGATGGTATTTTAAAACTTACGTTGGGAAAAGATATTTGTTCCAGTGCTTCAGATTCTTACGTAAGAAAGTAAAAACGTACAGCTATTGTGTGTTGTATCTTCACTGTAACTTTCCCACACTCACTCGGCTAACGTTTTTTTCTCCATTTTTCTATACACAGAGCTCAAAAAGCTATGTGCCATTTTGTTTAAATTTTTTATATTAAAAATCTAACAAAAAATTTCTCCCAACAATGTATCAAAAATAAACTTTTTGTAATAACTCTGCTTACAAAGGAAAAAAAGACCACAATATACCTGCAACAGTGGTCTTTCTTTTCAATTATTTTTAAGTTTATTCACTTTGTACTAACTAAACAACAGGGCTCCCGCTATAAGATGGAAGTAAGCCTGGCCCTGTTCTTCAATATCTTTCACCTCCATTAAAAAACCTCTTGAACGAGGTTCTAAGAAACATATCTCAATAATAAAAAAAAATAAAAAAACATCAACGTTTAATACCCCCCATTTCCCCGAAGTCTTCATATACACTTTGACTGAACGAAAGTTCGGTGGACCTTACCTTTTACATACAGTAAGACGACAAATAACGAAAATATTTCTCCAGGAATATTTTCGCGACCCAGAAAAACTATAAACGTTCCTCCCATTATTTAAAAAACACCCTCAAAATGGGCATTTTTCTTTCATCAGGAGAATGTTAATGCCATCGTGGAATATACAGGGAACAAGTACAGAAGGCAAAAGATGTCACCATGTCCACAGACTAGTGACCACGCAATATACAATCTCAAAAATCAAACCCACTCTTTTTAAACAGCAGTCTGTTTAAAAATTGCATCCTTAATTATATCTGCGTGAACAATGCCCTTCTAACTTAATCTACATTACTGTATTATTTCTCTTAATTATAAAAAAATTTATATCCGTGGTATAAATCCCTGAATCGATGTGTTTGAATTAGGAGCTTCCAAAAATTCGCAACAGCATACTATCAGCTCAGTCCCCACAACATTTAATAATTGCAAGTTCTTCTTTCCTTGAGAGATAATGAAAATTAAAACGTCACTTGACAAAATCCTTTGTCATGTATAGCAAGTCTGCCATTGCATAAAAAAAATCACCTCTATTAATGCCCGTTAAAACACATCTACTCCAAGTCTGTAATCAGATGAGAATTTAACGGACAAATCAAAAATATTCACAAAATTATTTTTTTAAAAATTATTATAACATTAATAATTATCAGGAACTCAGATGTTACGTTTTCCTCTAATTTCCGATGAAATTCTTCTTTCTTCGATCTTCATCACATCTTTGGTATAATGTGGGCTGTATTTTCTTAATATTCTGAGGTATATACGTTGTAAACTTCAAACTACATTATCTCTTCCATAAGAATGTTGGTCACTGGTAGGGTAGCTACCTACTCCCACACATCTATTGTTGGGGTGGTTCTCTGCGTGTTCCCCCTCTTGTTGCTCTGCCCCCAGAAGGCAGGGGCTGGGCTTGAAGAACCATAGCACGGATACGACGCTGGGCTGACTGAAAATTCAAGGAAGTTTTTCAGAGCGAGTCAGAACAGTGACATATGATAAATATTAACAAAATAGTAATAAAAATAAAAATAATAATAATAGTAGTAATAATAATAGTAATAATAACAATAATAATAATAATAATAATAATAACAACAAAATTATTTTTTCTTCTTTTTTTTAACATAAAAAATGATCTGCAAAATACCTGTACTGAAAAGAAGGGTCCAATAATGTGAACAGTTGTTTCTTCCTCTTGAGGAGGAGCAGCACCTTGTTCAGGAAGCTTAATAATTGAACCAGTCACTCTCTGCAGCTCCCGAACATTTTGTCCTCCTTTTCCAATAATACGGCCAACTTGGGAAGATGGAACTAGGATCTCTACAGTTAGACGTACATCATCTGTTCCAGCAACAAATCCTTCTTCTCTCATCTTCTCAAAAATCAGATATTGAGCCTTAAAAAGGAAAGAAAGAAATACAATGAAATCAAATGAACAGTTCATTACCTTCAAAATATCAATACTTAAGAGGGGAAAGAAAGAAAGCAAACAAAAAAATTGTGTAAAATTTGATATTTTTCTGAGAATATTCTGCCAATAAGGAGAATTTATTTCGAGACAGTTTCCAAAACTAACGTATGCTCAGTTTTGATAAAGAAATTATAATAATAATAATAATATATTATATTTAGAAATTATAAATATAATAATAATTAGAGTAATACACATATTTTAAGCAGGATCCCTAAAATGACTTTTCATATAATTGAAAGCAGGGAACTTTCTGTAACTCATTTACTAACTTTAATAGCAAGCAAACATTTTAAGAGTGGAAATGTACAAAGGGAATTTGCTAGTGTGAATATTTCATTTGAGGCTCACATGACAAACAGTAATAAGAATTACTCAATTCTACAACTGTATTATACAAAAGCTTCTTTCATATTATTAATATTATACAAAATATATCAATATTACCATATTATAAAACATTTTTCTAGATTTTGAGGATTAATTTGACTGTAAATTACAAAAGCTACATTTCTTTTAAAGTTGCTGATATTTTGAATTGAAGATGTTGGATTTTACAAGCCTTCTATTTATACTTCAATTTATTGTAGGCATGAGAGTTTAAGTAAAACAAATGAACAGAAAAGCAATATCATAAAATATCAATGCAATTGTTATGGAATTTTTCAATATATTAAGAGGGTCTAACCACATTTTTCTCAAATTTCAACAGATTTTTCAATCTTCTGAATCCTCCAGGTAATGCATCACATGATCTTCAAAGATAATTTGTCTTGTGCAAGATTGTTAGAAATGTCTTACCTTACATTCAGTACCACTTCCTAATCACATTTTAGAATAAAAAGAGAAACTTAATGAACAGATGTGCTATAAAAAAGTCATCAAAATGATGCCAAGATCAAATTTCAATAACGACAACCATGGTATTACCATCAATGCCTTCTTTCGGCAGCATAGCCTTTGTTCTCACTAGCAATTAAAAAGGGGATTTTCAGGGTCTGGGAATGACTGCTCAATCTCACTCAAATCAGTTTGAATCCAGTTTTTTAAAAATTATTATGCCGGAAACCCCATAAACACATTTTCTGGGAATTACAATGTAACAAATAAGTATTATTTAACTTTATTTTTATCAATTGATTTTTTGTCAGAGGTGGTGAGAGATTGCCAGCATTGCTCAATATAGTCACGATCATGTGACACCTAGCAACATAAATAGACACAAAATGCTATGAGATATTCCATCATGAAGACAGGCCCTCACGTGCCAAGAAATAAAAACCCAAGTATAGTAACCATTGAAGTTCACAGTGTATGTTTGATAATTTGAATGTTGCATCTATTATTACTATTTAATTGAGATTCAGCTGACAAAACGTAGTCCAAAAAATCAGTAGGAAAAGAAACAAAACCTTGGATGATCCGATTCGATAATTCAAAAAAATCTTTATTGACAAAAATTTTGATTTTATTTATTTTTCACCATTAGTCATTTTTGTCTAAAAAAAATTTCAATTTATGGTTGTCTGAAATTTATTATAGAATTCTCTTTTGATGGACCTTTTTCATTTAAAAAACATTGCCCATGTAAAAATGTGTAACACAAAACATCGGCTTTAACATTGGCTTAAAAATGTTTTTATAAAAACATTGATGTTTTGAAAACCTAGACATTGATATCGCATCCCTAACTTTAACAGCTCAGACTTGTATCCACTTGCGAGGTATGATTCGCTGTAAGAAAAAGGCAAAAGACGTGCCTGGCAGCAGAAGAGTTAAGGAGGAAGTTTGAAAAATTGGCACAGGACTTCCACAAAGACATACGAGTTTCCAAACCGAATATCTTGACGACACTAAGAGAAATGTTATCTCTTTCAGTAAGGAAGTGTTGTTCGAAAGTAGTAAAATGATGATCTTGATCACATTTGTCAAAGAAGAAACAAATCACAGCAATTGCAAAAAAAGAAACAATGACAGAAACCAACAGAATTTCACAAGAAATGACACAAATTTGCAAATTATCAGCACAGTGGGGGAAATTAAGGATCACCATTGTGGTGAGAAATCATATTTGTTTGGAGCCAACAAAACTTTACCCCAAGGCAGGATGATTGAAATATTTATATCTGGTGATCATACTGATATTCCTATAGTGAGAAAATACAAGCCTTCTGATTGGGCAAGTTGGATCCTACTTCCTCTCACTCCTGACACCTTAAAATTACATTAAATTCCAAGGAATGGTTTATCTTTTAAGCAATAAGAATAAATTATAGGCATTGTCGTCAGAAACAAAACACCATTACAGTGCAAGAACCTGAGAAGGGAATTAATTGAAAAGAATTGAAGGGAATTAATTGTTGCAAAATCAACTCATTGCAACAACTTAGTACTTCTAGAAGCCCCACAGATCATACGATATTATATAGCTCAATAATAATAATAAATAAAGGCAACAATAAATAAATATCCTGTTCGAGAATTCTTTTCATTATTATAGACATTTGATCTACATAAAGAAAATTAAGAGAATTTTGAAACCGTAAAATAATCAAACATTATAAGTCTGCATAGGTCAGACATTTCACAACCAAGGAAATTTCTCACAGGCATGCCTCTGGCCTTTAATACGATCAGTACTTTTCAAAAAAGAGATGATGAGGATATGGTCATCATCTCAGCCATTACCTCAAAACACAAGTGTATGTGTGAACCTTCATACATTAATAAGAGAGAGCGAGAGATTGCCTTTCCTGAAAAAGCATATAGGCAAGCAACAAAAGTATCCCAGGAATTCGCTATAGAAACCACGATTTGCACAAAAATTACTTTCACTTGATAATAGACAAAAAGCATCCATCAGGTTGAAGTATTCATGGATTTGACATACATGAGTAGAGCCTGGAAATTCAGGCATTTATTTTTACCAAAATTGGCTTAGAAAAAATATAATAATAATAATAAATTATTATTATTATAATGATTCAAATTTTTACTCTAAAATTTACATTAGCACTCGCATGGAGGGAAACTATTTTCTCTGCAATCTTGATTGCATATGACCATCCAGTATAATGACTTATGAATTTATTTCTCATGTAATGCTGCCTCAACAAAATGCTATTGTGGACTCCCTTTTGAATCTTCAAAAGGTATCAATGAAAACTGAACTGTAGATTTTGTTCTTCACCCTTGTGTAATCGGCAGAAGGGTAGAGGAAAGAAAAAGAGAGCTGTCTGTAGATAATATACCCTCCTCAGTTTGTCTTCAAGTGAGATCCAAGGTCCTACATAATCATTGAATGAGATTACTCTTAAGCAAACAAATCTGTATGCAACAATAAAAAATATAAAAACACATCATCACCATATCATCTTTCCTTTTAGATTTTTAACAGAACCTGACACTGGAGCCTCTGCATGCTTAGAAAAACAACACGATTACCTTCCTATTGTTCAGGCTTGCAAGGATGTCTCCAGCTTTATAACGATTGTTGACACAAAGGGTGGGGCGGGGAGAGGAGAAGAGGAGGCAGAAACGGCAACAGATAAGGCAGAAAAAGACAAAATGCCAAAAAATAGACAAAATGAAAATCTACTACAATTTCAGAAATACAATTAAGTGATTCTTATTATTGGAAGTCATAATCGTAAACAACATAAATCGTCACAATAATAAAAAGGAATTTTTCCAAACTTCCAGACAGTATTCATAACTTTCCTCATTTCTCCTCAAATCAGAAGAGGATCACTTCCATGGACAAATGCGCAAGATCACAAAAATAAACATCAAATATACTTCCTTACACACAGGACTGTTCACACATTTTGTAGCTTAAATTTAGAATGGTATAATTTTGTACAATATTCTTACCAAACAAATGAATAAATAAATAAATAAATAAAATCTCCCAGCTAAAACTGCAACTACAGGAAATTGTATTTGCGTGCATTATTAGAGCTCACCTTGGTTTTTTATTGTAAAATGATAATGATCTCAAACTAGGTCAGATGTTTTTCAAACTTAATTTTTTAAATTTATAATTGTAATGTAGATCATCTTTATGAGAATATCCCATCATGAAAGACTTGAGGAATAAGTGATCAATAAAATTATTAAGAAATATAAAATTTCATCTATTAAATTCTTTTATAAAATACAAGGATTGTTTATGGGTGCACGTTCCAATGTAATGGGTTATATGATCAACATATAACCCATTACATTATACACAAACACAACAAACGATATGAAAAGAAACAACAAAACTGAGTATGTTATTTATGTACTTTATGACCTTCAACCCTTCATGAATTCTCACTAATCCCTTGCTTCTTGGAAATTGTGATCTTACAATAAAGGATATATGCCTATTTGTGAAGCTGAAATAATTGCCACCATGAGCTTGTTAATGATTCATACAGCCTATTGGCTACTCTAATGAAATATGACAATAATTCCATACAGGACATTGTCTTACCACCCATCCTGCACCCTGCCGAGAGAAACTAAGGAGCATCAGGCATGGATCTGGGAGGAGAGACAGAGAGAGGGGAGGGGGGAGGAGGATGGGGGAAAGGGGGATGGGAATGAGAGAGGGAGAGGGGGGAGAGGGAATCCACCATTCCCCAAATTTTCAGTAACTATTAATTTTCACTCATGAAACTGCCAGGTAACTAGTAGTGGCTAAAATAGTACATACTTTCTCGCCCGTATTTTCATGTGAAACTATGAGAAAAGTGCTCAAATTTTCGAAAAATTCTACATGACCTCTACATGACCATACTTCAAAATCTATCTTTGAGGAAGATTTCATTAAAAGAAAAAATCTATCTTTGATATTTTAGTGCAGGAAGATGCCGAAAAAATTTTGAAGAACTTTCGTAATTTTCCAAAAATTAGTTTTTAACGAACATGAGGTCAGC